AGAGCCTACCAGCGGCAAGCTTGGAGGCGCTTCGAGCGGTGGTAGCCTTGAGGATCGTCGACCTCCTTGGGCAGTCTGGTTCAGGAGCCCTGACCACCATGCTGGTTGCTTCGTCATTGGCAGGATCCTCCATCTCGACCGCTTTGCCATTGCCAACATCCACCATTTTCTCATGGTCATCGTCCTCCAAAACCACGGTGACCGGTGAATTCCCCAACACCATTGCCATAATTTAATGCCGGTGTTGGGCATAAACAAGACACCTGCAACCACTAGTAGAAAACAGGGCTTTGGTCCAGGCCGGGTCAGCCCATTAGTCCCGGTTCAGTCCAGAACCGGGACCAATGTGGGCATTGGTCCCGGTTCGTGAGCCCAGGGGGCCGGCCGGGCCACGTGGGCCATTGGTTCCGGCTCATCTGGACCTTTTGGTCCCGGTTGGTAGGATGAACCGGGACCAATGAGCCTCTCATGCTAAGCAAAGCGTTTCACAGCGTGCAGCAACAATTTTTTTCTCACATCACATTCACAATATACTCCACTTACAGTACTCATGAAACAACAGATGTTTTTGTCACACGGTTCTCTATAACTTCAGCCACTGTATTTTTTCATTCTGAACAGCGATTTCCAGTTTGTGCTGTAATATTATACCGAGTTCATGCATAACTTTAACTACTATAAACATATCCACGCAAAGAAAAAAGGATTTAAACCACTAAACATCATCACTGTACAAGTAATTGAAATTAGCAGCCAATTCGATTCTGCTTCTTTCAAAGCATCTCTAGCAGACCTTTTAGGCCTTTTACAATGGAAAGTGCTTAAGAGATGCTTAAAAAAATAAATCGAATTTTTCTGAAGCACCGATGCCTATTTCTACAGAAGAGACGCTTAGTTAAGCATCTATTCTGTACAAATAAGCATCGATGCTTAAAAAAGACTAATTTATTTTTCTAAGCACCTTCCCTAAACACCTCCCATTGTATAAGGCTTTAAAATGCACGAAGCTGTAAAATAACCGTCAGTTTACAGTTTCAGCCGAAAAAAGCGACCGGAGTAGAACCCATAAACCACTGCGACCCGTAATTTTTTTGAAAGGACACAGAAAACATCCCGACTAAACCCAGAGACAATCCGAAGGTGCACTGTATACACAAAAGACCGTTGGCCAACTGCCATCGAAACTTTCATGAATCGCTCCCGTTCGCCCGTCCTCGGCTGCCGGCCCGTCGCCTCGGCTGCCGCGCTCGTCCCGACCACCGCGCCTGCCGTCCGCCCGTCCCCGGCTGCTGGCCCGTCGCATCGGCCGCCGTGCTCGTCCCAACCACCGCGCCTGCCGGCCGGCCGCCCGCCCGGACGGAGAAGCTAGCTACGCCCGTTCGCTGGAATCTAGCTTGCTAGCTATAGCTCTCCATCATCCGCTCAGTTCTGCTAGCTAGCTAGCTCTCCGTCTGCTCGAATTGCTAGCTAGATAACTAGCTTCATGCGAGTCGGCCCCGAACGCCTCGGCGGCGGCGGCTGCTGCTTCTGGCTCCGACCCGGTTGCGCTCGGTGGCGAGCATGAGTAGGCGTCACGGAGGCAGGACGCGCACAGACCAAGGGGACGGAGGTCGAGATGAGAAGGGCGCGAGGAAGAAGATGATATATTTAGAGAACATTCTTTTTTACGGGTTGATTATATGGGCTCTGTTCGGCTGCAGCTAAAATCGTCCCTTATAATGCGCTTTTCGGCCCTTAAAACACTTATACGGGTCGCAGTTTTAAGGGGTCTGCTAGAGATGCTCTTAGGCCTGTATTCCAAAGCAAGGCCCTGGCGATGAAACTCTAGGCACATGGGGGAATGCGGTTGCATGCGGGAGGGGGGGGGGGTGCGCATCGGCAACGGCGAGCCCGAGATTTGAACGGCGAGTAGCGACTGTGAGTATCGGAGCCAATATCTGGATGGCGAGCACCGGCGTCATCACTCCTCAGGCATGCGTTCGTCAATGGCGGTAAGCCCTCTGTCCTAGATGGCATCGATTTACGCATTGATGATACAGTTCACACCCCGATTTAGGCATAGAATCTACTTGTAGGCTTCAATTTGGGACCAAGCAAAGCATATCTGATTAGGGATTTGAGGGGTTTGAATGAGATTGCGTAGGATTTTCACTAACGCGGCGGGGAGGCGCTTGGAGCGGTGGTAGCCTTGAGGATCGTCGACCTCCTTGGGCATTGTAGGGCAGTCTGGTTCAGGAGCCCTGACCACCATGTCGATTGCTTCGTCATTGGCAGCATCCTCCATCTCGACCGTTTTGCCATTGCCAACATCCACCATTTTCTCATGGTCATCGTCCTCCAAAACGACGGTGAGCGGTGAATTCCCCAACACCATTAACATTTACTGCCCGCGCTGGGCATAAACAAGACACCTATAACTATATTTACTAGCGACATTTGTGTCCACACCACTAATGCACTCCAATTTATTTATAATTTGCCCATCAATTGAAATGAATGCCGGAAAACATGATTCATACCCAAGTTTAAAAGTGTGCGAGTGTCTTTAACATTTGTATAGAAATATTTGTAACATGTCAAGTCTAAATGATATAAACCTATGAGTTTGCATCAACACTCCAGATTTAAGTTGGAAAATACGGTCCTGGGATGATATGCTTCAATTTGTAACCATCGTACTCTCCGCTTCTAAATATAAGTCTTTTTAGAGATTTGAATATAAACTACATATGGATGAATATAGATGTATTTTAGAGTGTAGATTCACTAATTTTACTTCGTATGTAGTCCATATTAGAATCTCTAAGAAGATTTATATTTAGAAACGGAGGAATATGTGAAAACTTGTGTGTAACACTCTAATAGTTTAACTATATCCCTTAAATGTCAGATCAGCACACCATAAAAAAATCGAAATGTTTAGACTTCATTAGTATATTTTAAAAATTATGCCTCTCACTCTTATAATATAGAAAAATATTACGACCGACGTTCGCCGTGCTAGCCAACGCCGCTCGCAAACGGTACTAGTGGTGTGACTTTCTGAGCCCACGCTACCAATTTGGTCTGGCTCAAAGTAGGGAGAGCGGCGCCCTTAAGGGTGTGTTTAGTTGCTGGAACGGATCGGAATGTCACGGGTCCGTTCCAGCAACTAAACACACCCTTAAGGGCGCCCTTAAAAAATGTCACGGGTATGTCACGGGTTGCTGGAGCGGCGCCCTTAAAAAATACTGAGAAATCATAAACTGCTTGTCAATTCAAAAAACATTCGAAAAATCATAAAATGTTCATAATTTCAAAAATTGTTCGCATATTCTAAAACAATCACAATTTCAAATAAATCTTGGTGAATTTAAAAATATTCATGATTTTTAAAAATGATACAATACTCAAAACATATTCGGGAATTTGAGAAAAAAAGTCCATGGAATTTTAGGAAATATTCACAAAAATTAGAATAGATCCATAAATAATGAACAAAACGAACCATCGCTTACGTAGAATTTTATTGGAGGATCTGTAGAGGTTGTTTTGTATTACTTTATTTAGTCCCCGCGTCGAGTAAAATAAAGGTTTTCATGTTTTGTACAATGCCAAGCCCAAAAAAATTTGACACAACTTTCTATGGGTTAGTTTTGTAAGCCATATGAAAATGACTAAATGTCTATTTTGCGTCCATACACAACCATGCTTATTTTGATACCATAGTTTGTGGTACACGCCCCTTACATGAGGTCAAGGAGAGACACATCATTCATCAGTCTAGCTTAGGCAGGGTCCATCGATGCAATTTGGTCAGCCAAAAAATATTTCATTGTGACCCCTTAGAAAATCAAGTCGTGATGAGACCATCACATTTTTATATTTTGAATTGAATTTTTAAAAGTCCCTTATCTTATTATGATATCACTCAGACATAGTTTGTGAAATGAAATTTTAAAAGTCCTTTATCAGATGGCCGGATGGCCGGAAACAACCGAAGCGACTTGGGATGCGACTTATAGACAATCGGATGGCCGGAAACACCTAAAAGTGACAATCCAACGGGCACAAACGCCTCCTTTATCTCATCGTGATATCACTCAGACATAGTTTGTGAAATGACATTTTAAAAGTCCTTTATCAGATGGCCGGATGGCCGGAAACAACCGAAGCGACTCGGGATGCGATTTAGAGACAATTAGATGGCCGAAAACGCCTAAAAGTGACAATCCAACGGCCACGAACGCCAATGGCCTGAGAGGGCAGGAAAAGTGCTCATTTATAATGTGTATGTTATATAAATTATGGGACGGAAGGGTAGTAGATATAGATATAGATTTATTTTTGAGACATATAGATATAGATTTTTTTTGAGGCAAACATATAGATATAGATTTTTTTTTTTGAGCATCAGTACAGACACAAGCGTTCATATACACGCGTATACACTCACTCCCTACCTCTATGAGCATCTCCGAGAGACTGAGCCGGAATATCATCTTGAGATTTTCGAAATCACTGTAGGCGCCTCGTCGTCGACGGGAACGTCTCCTCTCACTCAAAGCGTATCGCCGGAAATCCTAAAATAAATTCAAAAATAATGCGAGCATCAGGATTTGAACCCTGATGGGTTGGGGATACCACTTTCCACCTAACCAACTCAACCACATATACGATCGTAAGAATTTGCTGGCCCTAAGGAAGCCCAGCCGTGAGAGCCCGTCCACAAGGCGGTAGAAGCCCGGTCCAACAAAGAGAAGAGGAGGGGAGGTTGCCGGCGCTCGCACGCGATCGATTGGGGAAATAATAAAGGGTCGGCACAGATAGATAGATTTGTTAGGGTTCACCTTCCCTGATTCCGCCCCCTTCCCTCTCTCCTCCCGCCTCATCTCCTCCACCATGGCCCCGACCGAGGGATCCTCCATGGCCGATCTTCCTGCAGTCGATGACGACCAAGAGGAGGAGACACCGATCCCCCGCCCCGTGTCCTGGCTCCCTCCGCACACCCCCCACGACTGCGGCGATCCTCCCCCAAAGTCGGTCGTCCTCGACACCCTGGTCTACGCCGACGACCGCACCAACGCCTTCACCGCCGAGGGCTTCACCAGCAACAGCCTCGCCATCTACCTCACCTTCTGGCCCGCGCATCCGCCGCTCATCTCATACTTCACCGTCCACCTACCCGGCCTCCTCCAAGACGGACCGGCCACCTCGCTCGACCTTCTGCCACGCCTTCTCCGCACCGACGGCGACCTCGCCCTCTTCCGCGTCATGGTCGGCCCTTCGCGCAGTAATCGGAAGCACATCAACTACATGATCTACCGTGTCCGTGCCGGCATCAGCAAGCTTGAGGTGCTCCCCGCCCACCCCACCCGCTTGTTCGCCGACTGTTCATTTGCCCTCCTGCGCTGCCGCTGCCCCGACGACGGCAGGTTCTTGGTCGCCAATCTCCGTTCGATTTACTCCCGTGGGCAGTACGCCCTCGACCTGTTCGACTCCCGGTCAGGCACATGGAGCACTAAGTCGATGCATGCTGAGTCGCCAGAGGACTGCGACTACCGTACTCCAACCAAGGTGATCGCCCTCGGTGGCGATCGCGGTTCAATCGGATGGGTCGACCTCTGGAATGGCATCCTCATCTGTGATCTGCTCGCCGATGATGACCAAGTCCTCCGCTTCATCCGTTTGCCCGTGCTTTCGGCGCCGGACAAGATGATCCCAGGACCTTTGGCATGTGACCGGGACGTCTCTGTCGGCAGTGATGGCTGCATCAAATACTCAGAGGTGTGGGCGAATCCCTTGCCTGGCTCACAGAATCGAGCCACCTACATCTCCCAGGACTGGGGTGCTGCCATACTGACATGGCTGGAGCCCCAAAAGAAGTGGCAAATCGACCTCAGCCTCAAAGCCTCAGACATCATTGTGGACAAGAGTCACTCCCAGTTGCTTCCTCATCATGTCAAGGCCACAATGAAGAAGCCAACCTTAAGCAGACTCCACGCAGGGCATCCTGCCTTCAGCTTGCATGATGATGGTGTTGTTTACATCATGACTAAGGTTGACCACAGGGAGGACGACTTGTGGATGCTTGCTGTTGACATGAGAAGCAAGACTCTGAAAGGAGTGGCTGGTCTCACCAGTAAAAGAACCATGGGTTTTAGATTCATGTACTTGCAAAGTGACCTCTCCAACCATCTGGCGCGCACAAGCAGAACAACAGAGGTCTCCAACCATTTGGTGGCCACAAGCAAAAAAACCGAGGTCTCCAACCATCTGGTGGCCACAAGCAAAACCGAGACATCCAAGAATCTGCCCAAAAGCAAAAGGTCCTCACGCAGGTAAGTTATACCACCGCAGGTCTACTACATATATTTCTGTCTCTGAAATAGTGTTGCACTTGGTCAACGTTTTGGGACTAACCCTGGATAGCTGGGCAACCTGCCCTTCGATCGAGTAGATTAGTACTAACTATTCGGGCACAATAAGGTTTATGTCCTTGCTTGACACAAAGGATGTGTTCGTTTTGGCCTCTCACAAGTACAGTTGTGTATACCTGTCTGGTTTGTACAAACATGGTAGGGAAACGGTAGGTGGTTGTAAGAAATTTGACGGATTCTTTGGATCACAGGATTTTCAAAACAAAGGAATAGGAAAAATGGAGGATTTGGTTGTCAGGACATAGCCAATCCCATGGAATACAAAACCAGAGGAATGTGTAACAAAGAGCCTTTGGCTGCACCATAGGGAACGTACAGGAAAATCCATACAATATAATGTTTATTATTTTCAAGATGTGTTTCAAACGGCAAGCGCAGTCAACTGCCAATAAAATATTATTATATTAAGTCTGATGTGTTTCAAACGGCTAGTGCAGCCAACCGCCTGAAGTAGCCGTTAGCTGCAGAGCATAAATAAGCTGATGTTTCTTGCACCTTTTGTTTGACTTGAATAACATTAAATGATTACACGGCTGCCTGGCAGCTCAAACGAGTTAAGCTGATGGACCATCTGCATTGTGAAACTATTTATATTACAATGTTGTACTCAGAAACCCATAGTAGTGTGCACAAGCATGTGTGAGCAGTACACACACAGGCACAACAACCTACAGCAACACTTTAATCTCTCAATCTCTCACAGTTTCTCTCTTCACGGACATCACACACAACAGATCCATCTCTCAGTTTCTCAATTTCTCTATTTGCACATAACACATCACATCAGACACGCACAGTCAGGCATGGGAAGCACACACCCACGGCGACCCAGCTAGTGCCCACATCACTCAGGCACGGCAAGCACACACATCAGTGGGAAGCCGGTCAATAGCACCCAGCTAGCACGCACATCACTCAGGCACGGCTGCTTCACCCCTGCCACCAACAGCCCTCGTGCACCAGGCGGCCACCAACGCCACACCTCGTGCACAGTTCTGGCAGGATCTGCCGCCCCCGCACCATATCGAGCACCCCCTCCCTCGATCTAGAAAAACTGCAAGGGAAGGAAATGGAGGGACTATGTGATGTGGGCTAACCTGGATAGGGCCGACGTTGATCCCGTCGAGTTCGACGTGGAAGGGCCTGAGAGGGAGGTATTCGACGAACGCCGGGTCGCCGCCGCCTCCACCGGAAAAGATCTGACCTCGTTGCCGCTTTCGGTGTGAGCCTTTTTTTTATTTCCTTCCAGACCTGAGCGATGCGTGGTGTTTCTTTTTTCGCAATGCGTGGTGTTTTGACACGAAGCAGCACGGCTGTTTTGGAGCGAGCACGCCATGCAAGCGAGCGTTCTCTTTTCGTGCCAGGAGTTTTTCCAAGAGGTCGGACCTCAGGCGTAAATTCCTCTGGAATGACACCTTGGGAAGTGGGAACCTAATCCTCACGAATTTTAGCGACGCAATCCTCTGATCCAAATGCATTCCATAGAAAACAATCCCAAGATTAAAATCCTATGAAAATCCTGTAAAAATCCTCCAATCCAAAGAAGGCGTGAAGGTGGGAACACAAATGGTAACTGGTTTGGATTCTGCTTTTGTTAGAGAGCAAAGATAACTTGGTCTTCCTCTGTTGGTTACTTAGCTAGGTCAGGTGCAGGTGTATCCGTATCTGGCAATTAGGAATAAGGGGTTTATTAGAGTGATGCCTTCGCTATTTCGTTGCCAGTACCCAGTATACATCTGACATCATATCATCTTGTGTAAGCAGGTTTTCACCTGAGGTTGTCCTTGTGCTAAAATATTGCACCTTTTTGATCTTTCACAGAAAGAAACGTGGTAAGAAAGAAGCTGTGAAGGCTCTTGCTAACAGCAATGGTGTGGATGTTGATGCGACTCGGAGGGAATCGCAGCAGTTGGTGCAACTTGCGGAACAAGAAGAACAGGAGCTGAGGATACTCGAGGTGTTTTAGTAAGGTAAATGATGGCTATAAATGGATACAATGTTCGTGTAATGTTCTGATTCTGTTTGTTCTATCTTGGTGATGCTGCTTCTGCCTTCGTAATTATCACAGGCTTATGGCAACTGATGTGGCGTTGAAGGAACATTTGCTGCATGGTTCCAAGGTTGAGGAAAAAGAGACATTTAAGGTTTAAGTGGGTGACTATTAGAGCAAGTACAATAAAGCTGAGTCAGCTGGCTATAAGAAATAAACTAGTATATTCTTGCTTAGTTGGAGGAAAGAGAAGAAGAGAGAGAAGGGAAGCAGGCTCTTGGTGAAGAGCCAGCTCTAGCACGTGCTCCTAGGCACTTTGTGAGAGTGAAAGGTGGGCCATATAATAAAAAAGTAGTACACTCTTCTAATCAACTATTGTACATATTGGCTATAAGATGGGCTATAGATGACATGGCAATGGCTTATAGCCAGCAGTTGGCTATACTATTAACCATGCTCTTAATCTGCATGAATAATCAGTATTCTGGTGTTGTCTTTTCCTTCACCAGTTGAATGTTGTTTTGTGTTTTAATGTAATCGTGTTATCTACCTGTGACGATGTAAAGTGGGTGATGTGCATGTTATCTTGCCTACTTGATGTTGTTTGATCTCGGGGCTACTAGTTGTCGAGATGTCTTATGCCTCTTGTAACCAAGGTACTCCGTTCCAAATTATTCGTTGTTGAAATGGATGTATGAACTGCCTGTTCATGTTTTTGTTTAGTCCGTCTTTAGTGCATAGGCCGGATGGTCAACTTTATGTCTAGCCTATTCATATTGAACTTATCTTCTATAAAATGGCGTAAGTAGCTTGCTCTATGCAAGCATGAACAGAAGGCAAATATTCTTGAAGAGCGCGTCTATATGAACAATTGAGAGACCGTAGTTCTTGAAGTAATTTTCAATCTTGAATATAGATGCAACCTTTGTTGCTCACCATCACAAGTCCACTTATGAGGTGTTTGGAAGCTGAAAAGCGTTGCTGTTTTGGTTACATGTGGTTTGCTAACCTTCTCTTGGAGTGGTGAGGTTACTCTTGCACACACACACACACACCATAATAACAGGCACAACTTACAGGTACTGAGGGTGTGTTTGGTTTGGCAACGAAGCGGAACGGTGTCGTGGTTCGAATGGGTCGGTTCCGTCCAGGGACAATTCAAAGGAATGAAATGGTTACATTTTGGTGTTTGATTTTAGAGATGGGGTGGAATGGATTTGTTCTCTTCACTTGCTTTCTCGTGATTCACTATAATATAGTGAACTTTGGCATATATAGAGGTAAAAAAAATCATCAACAGAGCAATTCTTTCAATTTTAATGATGGTATGTATGCATAAAAAAAGTGTCCAGATCCAAGCAGCTAGTACCAGTGTATCAAAGGCATCTAACCTTTGCAACTTAACATGAAACTCAAGCACAATCTGCACACGAACACAAAACATAAATCGCACAATGTGGTGAATGATTGCAATCTTCTCAAAACAAAAACAAAAATAAGACGATCTTGTAGTACTAATCAGCCATCCATCGCCAACACTTTGCCTCAAAACTTCATCACATTTCTCATCTGCAGACAAAACATCAAATTTCAAATTCAGCGGTAGCACGACAAGTAATAGCGGTAGCAGCGCGGCACACAACAACAGTAGCAGCAAGTGCTGCCCACGAGCAGCATGGGCCGGCCACGAGAACGACGCACGCAAGGGCCGCCGCTGGCAATAGAAAGCAGCTGCGCCATGACGCAGGGTCCGTCGGCGCACGAGCAATCGGGTCCTCGCTGCTGCCTGCCAGCTCGAATCGATCCGCTGCCGCTTGCCTCCTTCCGACGCCGCCTCCTGGTGCCAGCCGAATGTGAGGGAGAGAAGAGACAGGGAGATAAGCGGGGCGTCGAGCGAGATACGCGAGCAAACTGTTCTGCGTGGTCCGCTTGATTTGAAGGGATCGCTCGGTTCGGCATAAAGCGCGAATATGCTGTTTATTACATTCTACTCCGTGATCTTAACCAAACACCCCCAAGTGAATGGATGTCTCTGGGCCGCACAAGCCACCATGACGCGACCTAGGGGGTGGCCACACCCCCGGGCTTGTGGGTCCAGGGTGGATCCCTTAGATGATCTCAGTGACAACAATTCTAAAATATTTAGAAAAACAATCATATTAAAATTTTAGGTGTGAAAACTTTTATTTTTGCACTTTTTATTGCATAAAAAGTTCAGTAAACTGGGTAAATAGGATATTCTAGGGCATTAAAAGTTTATTCAAGCAAATGCAAACATAGAATAAAATAAAGTTACAGAAAATTGTGCTCACGGAATTCATCAACCCTATACCTTTCAAAAACAATCCATTAATAAGGTTGATAAAGTCTTATTAATGAACTGTTTTCGAGTGACATAAAGCTGAAGAATTTTTGTATACCACTTCTACTCACGATGGAGTTGTTGGATTTCCTTGAAGAGGAAGGATGATGTAGCATAACATCAGAAAGTATTCTATCAATTAAGAACCAAGGTTTATCGAACTAGCAGTAGTCACGAAGTTAACAATATTGGCAGTATGTGACGCCCCCAACTTAATCGTACACTAATCATACACGCAAACGTGTACAATGAAGATCAGAGACTCACGGGAAGATATTACAACACAACTTTAGACAATTAAAGTCATACAGGCTTCATATTACAAGCCAGGGGCCTCGAGTGCTCGAATACAAACAAGTCAGTGGAGGCAACAATATCTGAGTACAGACATAAGTAAACAAGTCTGCCTTACGAAGGCTAGCACTAACATCACCAGTGATCGAAAAGGCAAGGCCTCCTGTCTAGGAGCCTCCTAACTACTCCTGGGCGTCGTCGGCCTCCACGTAGTAGTAGGCACCCTCGGGGTAGTAGTAGTCATCGATAGCGGCATATGGCTCCTGGAATCCGTCATCTGATCACGACAATTGGGTATGGGGGAAAAAGAGGTAGCAAAGCAACCGTGAGTACTCATCCAAAGTACTCGCAAGACTTACATCAGAACTATGCTAAGTATGCTTCGGGATCAAAGGAATGGGGCTATATCTTTGGACTGAACTACAGAAATGCCGGAATAGAGGGAAGGCCTGGCCTATCGAAGACGAGCATCTTGCAGTATTTAGAAGAGTACAAAATAGCATATTATAAAGTAAGTATGTTGTAGCATCAGCGCCCAGAGATTCTTCCTCGACTCCCTGTGAGAAAGCAATCCCGGAGTCATCATATCCATTTCATGTCTCAGCATCTAGTTCTAGTTGTATCGATCGGGATATAACTCCGAGTGTTCGTTACCGTGGACACGGCTATTGGAATAGATATACTTCCCTGCAGGGGTGCGCCAACTTACCCAACACGCTTGATCTACTCCGTCTAGACACACCATCAGGTCATGACCGGCCTCGGCCGATCAACACACCGCAGTCCTACCTAGGCTCAACAGAGAGGCCAACACGCCTGTCTACACCCTAAGTGCGCAGGGGTCTTGGGCCCATCGCCCATTGCACTCCTGCACGTTGCATGGACGACAGGGATCAGTCCTGGCTACCTCTATAACAAAGCAGGTGCTTACGCTGACCACCCACGTGTGTGCCGCTCAATCACTGACATCCGAAGAGCTTTCGGCTGATACATACGATGTAGAGTGCCCATACGTATTCTCGCGTGGTGGTCAATGCGAAAAGGCCAGAGTCCTACTCGGATCACATATCCGAACCGTTAGTGTATTGGGAGCGCGCGGTAATGACCAGAGACTCACGACCATGTGACCCTGTCGCCCGGTCTCATGGACTTATGGCAAGGCCCGGAATGCCCAGCCGTGCCACGTAGAAATCTCGCGGGTACCCTCCAGATCAACCCGACTACACATCAACTCGCCGGTACCCTCATGGTGAACTCGACTCACAAGAGACTGTCGAGAACTCAGGTCCACCTCTACTAGGGTGGTACCACCTGTTCTTCCAGTCTTGAAATAACAGTGACTCTCACGGGTACCCCGCGGGGCTGACCCGTCTTTAACATGGCTCTGGGGGTAAAGTTAAAGTAACCGTTTGTCCAAAACACCAAGGGGGAATCCGAGGAATCACTAATACGTCTCCAACGTATCTATAATTTTTGATTGTTCCATGCTATTATATTATCTGTTTTGGATGTTTAATGGGCTTTAATATGCTATTTTATATTAGTTTTGGGACTAACCTATTAACCATGGGCCCAGTGCCAGTTTCTTTTTTGCCTATTTTAGAGTTTTGCAGGAAAGGAATACCAAAGGGAGTCCAAACAGAATGAAACCTTCACGATGATCTTTCTTGGACAGAAAGCAAACCAGAAGACTTGGATATGAAGTCAGAGACGCAACGAGGAAGCCATGAGGCAGGAGGGCGCGCCCAGCGGGTGGGGGGTAGGCGCGCCCCCACCCTCGTGGCTCCCCTGACCTAGTTCCTTCGCCTATATATACTCTTATACCCTAAAAACATCGGGGGGAGCCACGAAACCACTTTTCGACCGCCGCAACCTTCTGTACCCGTGAGATACCATCTTGGGGCCTTTTCCGGCGATCTGCCGGAGGGGGATTCGATCACGGAGGGCTTCTCCATCAACACCATTACCTCTCCGATGAAGCGTGAGTATTTTACCATAGACCTTCGGGTCCATAGTTATTAGCTAGTTGGCTTCTTCTCTCTCTTTGATTCTCAATACCATGTTCTCCTCGATGTTCTTGGAGATCTATTCGATGTAATATTCTTTTGCGGTGTGTTTGCCGAGATCCGATGAATTGTGGATTTATGATCAGATTATCTATGAATATTATTTGGTTCTTCTCTGAATTCC